AGGCTTGTGTTCTCACAGACACTTTCAACTTTCTGACAAGTTAAGGGAACATGTTACCAAGGAGGGCAGGCGTATGGCAGCGACCGCACTGCACACAAGTAAGGGTCATTATTTAAAGCACTACTATACCAATAGGATGCTTATTCGGATTGCACCCTGAATGCGATGAACGAAGGCAAGAAACAAAGGCTCAGGAGTCCAGTCGTCATGAGCCTGATCCCAGATGCCATTGCCAGGATGATTAGCGTGGAGTGGATGTCTTCGGTTATACCGGGGGCCCCAGAGGGCCCTGAGTCGACGACAAATGGTTGGCTGGGGGTCTGGCAGGCGGAGAACAAGATAATACCGAATCATGCACCGTGCCTCAGGCCCCGTATGCAGAAACGTCCAGTTTATCATCGCTGTCAAGAACACTAAACACGATGAGTTCCACGGTCGTTAGATCATGTCAAGGTGTCTCGGGCAACGTACGAGAATTGCTTGAGCAGGTAGCCTTCGCCGCCCTGCTCCATGTCAATGTTGAAGACGTAGAAACCGCCGTCGCTTGTGACTACCATCACCTGAGGGCTGTTACTGCTCATGGCGACAACACTTCTCAGCGGCCCAGTGGACGGAGTGGATGATCCCCCTCCATTATTGTTGAGACTTCGCGAAGTGATCGGCCCCGGTTGAGATGACCTGGGAATCTTTATGTACGCGAAGTCCCTCGTTGGCTCCCACATCTCTGTGACGGTCTGCGGCAAGTAGGACCCTACAACGCCGGCCACACTTCGGCCCATTATCTGGGAAGAACGACGCAGCATGCTGCTGAACGATCCACTCTGCCTTCTATGGGCCTGAGCGGCGTGGTCGTTGCCACCATTACTCGAACTCGCGCCATCAGCCACTTCACTCCGTGGAGAATTAGCTGCACTTCCAACCGGAGACACGTTGGTGCTGTCGTGGCTGCGAGCCCTCGACCAGCGGTCCTGTCGAGGCGAAGATGGTGTTTCGGCTGTCGCAGTAGCTGTCGCTGGAGAGGCGCCCAGGCGGAAGATATGGACCGTATCCGAGGTGGAAGAAACGCAGAGCAGGGTGGAGCTCAGGTTGAAGGACATGCTATATATGGTGGAAGGATATGTGCCGCGGCGAAATTGGTAGAGCTTCTGACCCTTAGGGATGGAGAAAACGCGGATGATGGTCCCCGTCTCACTGGCCGTGGCCAGGAGCGTCCCCTCGGCGTTGAGTGAAATGCAACACAGAGGGGACCGGTGTGCCTCAATGACGTTGACAGCCTTGAGAGCGACAGTATCAAAGACGAGCACCTCGCCGGAAGTGGGTGCGACATAGTTTGACAGAGGAGGCGCATGCGCGGGACGCCTGTCGCCGCTTTCGTCTCGGGGCTTCGGTAGCGGATATGCGATATAGCAGTTCTCTGAGGACGGCGATAGGGCACAGATGGCGTTTGGGTTTGGGGAGGTCGGGATGGTATATAGAAGGCTCATGTTGGAGATGTCGTACAGGTAGATTTCGGACTCCAAGACAACGGCCAGTCGTTTTCGGTTCAGGCGGACGGCTAGCACAGCAGATGGGAACGTGAGCTCGCATATGACGGAGGATCTCTACAGCGGCCTGCCTGTCAGTACTCGGTTCGCTGGTCGAGGAAGGGCGCATGCCCGCTTGCCTTGGTATTCTGTATGATCAAGTGGCGGGGAGATAGGATCAGGGCGACCAGGGACGTGGAGAAGAGCATTTCAATAATCGCAATGTTTCCGTCATCGCTGCTGAAGATTTTCGAGAACGGATCGGTGTGGTATATGCGGAAGCCCTTGGAGGTACCTAATGAGATGGGGCCAAGGCCGCGGATCAGCAAAGGTCAGGGCAATGCATCGAGTCTGCTAGGGGGGCATGGTCTACTGACCAACAGCGAGACAGCTGTGATCCTGGTTGAATGTTATGAAGTTGAGCGTCGGGGTCGTCATGTTTTGGTTATGGAGAGGGTAGGCTCCCTCCTTGTGCTTGGAACCCAGCTCTCGCAAGCCGGGCGGTTTCAAAAGCGTCAAGAGGGTGACTTGTAGCAAGCAGACACTCGTTGAGAAAACCTGGTATCTAAGAGGTCTCAGATGAGACAGACAGTCGTTCTTCGAAGACAGCGATTAACGAGCCATGGGCTGCCGGTAGCGCTGTAGCGTGGGCAGAAAGCTCCCGGGCGCCTAGACAATGCGATGGGTTCTATGACACAAGTCACAAGTGCGAGCTCGTGTCTGCAATCGCGTGTTGCAGTAGCGAATTCCTGTCAACTCGTGAAGAGCACGGAAAGGACGAATCCCGGGGGGGGGGGGAGGGTTCCGACAGCAGGCGAGGCTGGGAGGCGCAGGTCGAAGCGTCGTCTTGCCGTTCGCTGCGGGGGAGCTGTCCGTAGATAGATCACGAGCTGGGCAGCTGCAGTGGATACGCATCCCGAACGAGCAGGGTTACTTACTTAGGTGGCTGAAAGCTGGGCTCGCGCACAGTTCGCCATAGTACGGTGCTACACAATGCATGGAGAAGCAGTGGGCCCGACGACTCGGTCAGACACTGAAGGTGGCAGCAACCCTGTCTGACCGAAAGTACCCTTGATTTCCCACCCACTAAGCTCAATGTACCTCCCACATGGTGGGGGGGCCTTACCCGCAAACACCAGCAATGGGGTCCAAAATGGGAGTGCATCGGGGTGAAGAAAACCTCGTCTTTCTCGTTGCATACGATTCTCCATCTGCCTGTCAATAACCGACACACGCTACGTCTCACTGCGTCAAGGCCCGCAGCCACAAAATGACACCACCACCAGTCGTCCCTGCTGGAAATGGTCAGCAGGATGGGCAGAGCTTGGATGAGTTGGTGATGGGAGTATATCACCCTTCCCCTTTAGACTCATGCTGTGGAAAGCCTCTAACAAAGCCATCTTGGGCCAGGTAGACAAATAGCAGCTCCATCGTGTCGAAAAGAAGTGTTGAGAAGCTTTACTACCCTGACGAGCCGCATTTCTACCGTTTCTTTGTGCCGCGATTTCAAAGGCGAGCACCACTGGTCAACCGCGGTTACCACCTGAGAATCAAAGTCATCGACACCATTGTTCGCAACTTTCTACGCGAGCCCACGTCTCGCAAGAAGGTGATTGTCAATCTTGGATGTGGAAGGTGACCCCTCCTCTCCGTCAGATTTTGGCTTGCCAGCCTACAGCTACTAACTGATGTGTTCATCCATGTAGCGATGTGTTGCCATGGCAGTGTCATGCACGCTACCCAGAGCTGGCCGGCGACACTATGTTTGTCGATGTCGATTTTCCAGACTTGATGGAGAGGAAACGCAATATAGTGTTGGCCCATCCCGAGCTTTCCAGCCTGCTGGGGTCCTCCTGCGTGATGGGCGCTGCGGGCTCCCCAATTCTGCTCCAAAGTGCCCTGTATTCACTTATTGCCTGCGACTTGCGCCAGCCTTCAGTCCTTCAAGACTGCCTGTCCAAAGTCACAGGTGCAGACACACTTGATGTCAGCTTCCTATTCGTGGCTGAGGTGTCAATCACCTACTTAGAGACCCGAGCAGCCGATGAAGTCATCCGCTGGGCCAGCTCGATCGGTTCTGGTATGTCACTCTGCAGCACTCCCAGACGGCAACTTCCATCATGTGTTTAAACCGCTTGCTCACTGTCCACTGTAGCTCAGTTCTGTTTACTTGAGCAGCTGCTCCCAGATGGCCCGGAGCATCCTTTTGCAAAGACGATGATGAGACACTTCAGCAAGATGAATACACCACTGAGGTCTGTGTCGCAGTATCCCACCTTGGCGGACCAACACCGGCGTTTTGAATCTCGAGGCTGGGCGACTGTGAAGAGCTGGCCTCTATGGGAGGCTTGGGCAGACGACTACTTCATGACGGCGGCCGAAAGGAACCACCTCGACAGCATGGAACCTTTCGACGAATGGGAGGAGTTTGCTCTTTTTGGGAGTCACTACTTCGTACTCCAGGCAAGCAATAAATCCACGGGAGAACCTTCGACGCCGCGACCACCACAGGAACAGCCGAGCACGCTTGAAAAGTGGCGAATAGCCATGCGACTTGATGAGCCACCGAAAGGCGTGTCACTGCGACGCTTTGGCGCTGCTGTTCAAATTGCCGTGCCTGAGAGACCCAAACATCTCTGTCATATTCTCGGCCAAGGACCCGGATCGCGTCTCAGCTCCCTTGACGTTCACTCCATCTCGGAAGAGGTCATTCAAGCGACATCGTCAGGCAATGGACCCTCACAGAGAGTGTGCTTCACTCTCACAGACCTGGGCAGCGCAGGGGTAATGCTCGCTGGTGGGCGCGCCTCTCCTACTGCGCCGTCGAAGGAAACCTGGATCTATACCGCGTCATCGGGGCGCTGGTATAGGTCCCACGACCTGCCCATGCCATCTTTTCGGCACTCGGCGGTCAGGCTAGGCTCGTCTTCGCTGGCTCTTGTTGTAGGGGGAAAGACGGACAAGCACAGCGTGGCGACAGCGTGTCATGTATTCGATCCGAAGATCGGCTGGCGGACTTGTAAGCTTCGCGGGACATGCCCGGCCGTCTTCGGGGCGACCTTGATTGACTGCCCCAAAACTAATGCTGCGGCCTACACGGGAGCCCTGATTGGTGGTATGCACGAGGATGGCACATGCAATCAGTCGACTTTCTTCTGGGAACTAGATATGGATGGCTCGGTAAGTGTGATCAACGCGATCTCGCATGGTGCAGACCAAATAGGCCAAACGGGACTTACTAACAGTCCACAGTCTGACCTCTCCATATCTTTCAGACGCGGTGCGGATGCAGACCCCTCACTAACTGGGCACCATTCAAGCCTGCATAGATTCGGAGCCAACTGCCTCCCCACGCCTGATGGATGCTTCCTCCTCTTCGGCGGTGTCACGGCGGGCTCTCAGCTGCCACAAGATCAGGATATACTGGTGCTCAAGATGGGAGCGAATGGTTTCAATGCAGTCGCTTGTCTTGTCGACGTTGATGAGAAGCGTAGTCTGCGCCCCTTTTTCATTGGGTCCTCTGTCGTATATATCGGGCACCACCAGTATGTTATCCTTGGGGGCGGCGCGACCTGTTACGGATTTGGAGGCTACTGGTCGAGGGGCACGTATAGCATCGTGTTCGACACTGCAAACGATATGGTGGGAGAGCCAGCCGCCGGTAAAGCGGCACCTCTACCTGTGCGATATGCGCACACAAACGACATTTAAGTTCTCAAATAGGATCATGGCATTTGGGCAGATGCATTGAAGTAGAGATGTGGCTGGCTCGACTACCTAGCTGCAAAGAAGAGTCACTTGACATGTGTTGAACTCCTTACTCCTGGGCTACCTTACCTAGGTATGGTACCTAGTTACTCCGAGGGTACCTACCTAAGTAGCTGGGTCAGGCTGGGCTACAGTTTTGATTTAAATGGATGAGTGACATCATCCGCCCTCCAGTGTGTCGCAATCGAACCACATCACACCTCGTGAGCAGATGCCCACTCCCACAGCTCAGAGGACTGCGTTTTAGCTGCATGAGATACCTAGCGGTCGGCGTTCATGACGATAGCTGACCACCTACTCAAGGAAGGTCCTTGAGTCGGGTCTTTTGATTGGCGCACCACCAGGTCTTTCGCATGATGCACTTCTGACCCTGTCATACCCATTTCCCTTGACCTCAGTCAGCATCGCATTTTGGTTTCCCAATAGTACTTGCAATATCTTGCTGGATTATTCACAGCCCTCTTTTGATCCCGATTTTTTTTGCGCATACTGAGTCCTTCGCACACCAAGTCGCATTTCTGCCCACACCCTCGAGACATGTCACGGTTTTACGAGCAAGGCGCAGGGGAAGATTTCTACCGCGGGCGAGCCCCGCGCCGCGACTTCTCGCCCGGTCCGTTTCCAGACGACAGGCCGCAGTATCGCAATTACACATACAACCCAGGCCCTACACACGAGTATCTCCAAGTTCCGGATGACTACGGTCGTCCGCGCTCTCTGCCGCCTCAGCATGGTGTCATCCAACGCCCACCTTCTCGTCACGACCGCAGCGACGCCTACCGCACCCGGTCCTCCTCTCGTCCCAGCCGTCACGAACGTCATTCCAACGACAGAAGCCCTATTGATCGCGCCCGCCATGCAGTTGACAGCACCTTCACGCAGACCTCGTCCGGTCTGGGTGTCGGGCTCCTCGGCGCCGTTGTCGGCGGCCTAGCTGCACGCGAGGCGAGCGATGCCGCCACGCGATCGCGAGATAAGAAGGCCGCGGCTGTAGGCTCGTATAAGGGCCGTACGAGCGAGACTGACAGGTCGCGGGTCATGTCGACTGTCGTCGGTGCCATCGTCGGTGGCCTCGGAGCGAATGCCATCGAGAAGCGCTTCGAGAACGCCCGTGAAAGACATCGAAGGGAGCAAGAGGCGTGGGAGCAGAAGTGGGGCTCATCTGGTGGGCGGCCGCGCCGTGGTGACAGTCGCGGCAGATTCTATGATCGAGACTTGGGATGGGGTAACAGTGACGACTTTGGCACACCGGCTCACCGAATGCCACGCAGGTTGGCGAGCCATGATGAATTTCGGCACAGGGGGTGATATCTGGCTGCTATGAGGCCTGGCGATTGAGGTTTGGGCTATCAGGATGCAACGCTAGCATCATACCACGGGACTTGGCGTTCGCCTTTTGCTTTGTATGTTTTTGATGTGGGCTTGGGGGTTCAGGCTTTGGTTGATACAGGACGAAGCGAGTACACCAGGACGCCAGCGTTTTACAATAATCTACATTGAGCCGTCCATGTTCTACCCTGCTTGAGACTGCGATGTCTTGCTTTGTCAAGACAAGACTACCTTATACAATGTCCGAACATATCCTGGTGGTACACCTATACTACTTCCCAACCCCCTTCCTTGAAACCTGTCAAAAGAATCCAGTGACGGATTCTAACCTACTATCGTGGGCAGCCGACGGAATAGCCAACTGGCAACTAGTGCGAGCCACGAAACTCGAGTGGTGAACCACCGCCGTCATCTCGATTGGCGTCTTTACCATTCAGGGCCCCAGCCTGATCTATGTCATTGACTCCTTCATTGCCTGAAGAGTCCCAGTGGTGTTGTTTCCGGTAGTCGTGGAACATTCCCTGTTGCTCGGTGACGCCGGGTCTTGTTCGCTGACTGCGGTACGACCGCTCGCGCTCGACAATGACCTTGAAGAACTGGGCGATTTCAGCAAGCGCAACCTGCTGTACGTCAGAGCAGCCGATCGTGTTGAAGAGAGATTGCGAGTCGACCAGCTGCTTGGCAATGACCGAGTCGGGCTGACAGAAGGTACGGATGCGCATGGCGCGCGCGTTGACCTTCATGGCGTGTAGAAGCCCAGCAATCTCGAGCGGATTTCCCTGGCGACGGCCGAAGAAGCGGAAATCGGTGAGGTGAAGGTTGATGAGCTCTAACTGTGTCTCCAGGTCATATCGGAAGCCTACGACGCGGGGACGGCCTTTGCCTTTCCAGCCATTGGCGATAACCTTCAGCTTATCTGTATCCAGGCGACCGTGGCCGAGCTCGTTGGTAATGTATGCATGGATGGCATTGCTGACTTGGAATTCTAGTTCGCAGTATAGAAGACTTTGCTCGCGAGGGTCCAGTGATATGGCTAATTTGTCGGCTTTTGGGGGGCTGGCGTCCTTCTCGACCTCACGAGGCCGCCGCACGGTCTTGCTCTCAGTCTGTATCTCGTCAGTCTTTGATGATGTTTTCCCAACTGTCGTGAAGAGCAGTCTGCACCGCGAATGACATACCATGCCCTTGGCCATTTTTTTGATGCTATCCAGAAGCCCTGTCTTCTTCGGTGAGCCATTCTTCTTCTTGTGTTCCGGGGTTTGATTGGTGTTGGGACGCTTAAGCCAACCCTGTTCCCCGATGAGTGTTTTGCCGCCAATCTTTTGCACAGGAAGACCCTCAAAAGCAAAGTAAGTGACGAGAGGAGAATATGAGTCTGCCTCAGCTGTCACTTGCTTCAGCTGTTCTGCCCGCGTGGCAAGCTGGGGCGCTTGGCGGGGGCTCTCGGCGCATCGTCGCTCTGGATGCGGGCTACGATTGCGCGTAGGGCTTTTCAAAGGTTCTGGACCAAGTAGTTCAGGACTTGAAATCTCCATGGGATCCCAGTCGCGGTATGCTTGCAGGGCGTCGTCAATGCGACGCGACACGGTACTCTTCTCAATAGACAACGGGCGTACACGAGCATCTGCCCGGTGCTCTTCTTGTGAGTACACCGAGGACCAGCTGTCATCTACAGGCGCAAATACAGGATGAGACTTGAGAGGGTGACAAGCGGCCGGTACCGTCGGAGCGCGATGCACAAAGGTTCCATACTTTCTGGCCTCGTCGACGACTATGCGGTTTGGCGTGTTCTGGCACCGACGTTCGGCAATCGTTCCCGACAGTCTTCCGATCTTATCGGAAAACGGAGGCATGAGGTCGGAGAACGTGGTTGAGGTGCTGCAACGCTTGTACTCCCCTCGCTTCTGGTAAGGGGACGGGCTCAATTCGTCGTTGCCTTGGTGTTTCGATCTGTTGTGGCGAGGGATCTGAGGAATCGATTTTGTGAAAGAACTCATGCCTTGGCTGGATAGACCGTGTTGTTCTGGGTCCTTATTGAATTCATGCAACGCGTTCTTGATGGCGTCTTGGTCACCCTCAAGACCAATGGGACTCTTGCAATTCACGTTGCTGTGACTAGAGAACCTATCAGAAAACCCAGTCTCCATCAGCGACATCTGCCGTGTGTAAGGGACCAGACTCTTAAACTCACACATCAGCCAAACGGTCCATCTGATACTCCGTCAGATCCATGTTGATATGAACAGACTGTCGAGGTAGTCGTTTATGGGGCGAGAGTGATCGCGCTCGGCTAGGCGACACGGATACAAAAGTGCCATGAATCGGACTCCGAGTGTCCTCCCTGTTGACGGGGTTGTCCAGGCTCCTGCCTTTCCTCTGGTGCGTGCCAAATGTCTTGTCGAGCATGGTAGCTATATCCCTTGCAACGACTGAAGCGAAGCTTTCTGGCGGGCACTGGATCCTGGAGCTGGAATGCGCTGTGCCTCGAGGTGAGGAAACTAGGGTAGAGCAGGTTCCAGAAAAGCCAGAGACGCTTGGCGTGTATAGTTGCGGTGCAGTCCAACTGGGGAAAGGCCCGACCTCTTCCGGATCCCTGAAAAGGTCACTATCCAGGCCGTCTATCCAGTGTTGAAGACGTGACGCCTTTGACAATGGCGACTCTGGTAGTGATGTCACGGGTCAGTAGAAGGTCTGTGTTGCTATTGTCAATGAAGAGGTGAATGGGAGTCCGCCGTTGGTTATTGTGATCCGGGTCGGTGGCGCGTTTTGCACTATTGACCCTTCCACGTCGTCGCGCTCCTGCCAATGCTCACCGCACTAGGGGGAAAGGCAACCAACATACCTTGCCAGGTACAGGCAAAGAAGAGTCTTCCAAGATATGCTGACCTGTATGATGTGATGTGACATACCTGAGTTGAGGTCCTGTGCTCCAGCTGGACGACCACAGTCATCCGGCTCCAGCTTCAGGTCCGGCTGCGGCGAGGAGGAGTCATCCTGCCGTACCATTATAGAAACCATCTTACCGTTAGCGAGAATGCAGTCATCGATCATGTCCTTCAGTGTAAGACGAAGATGGCTCCCTCGATGGACTCAATTACTTGAACATCACCAGATACTCTACAACATCGCCATCTTTGGTTGCTTGTCTCGTGAGATCGGCTGCAAAGTCTGCGCAAGACCGCAGCATTGCCCAACCCAATTCCAAGCACCTGGTTCAGTCATCGACAGGGACCATCCTGGGAATGGCCATGGTGGTCCTGTTGCTTTTCCATCCGCGGCCAAATTCGGCTGGACTGTGCCATTGCGTCCGCAGTCATAGCGGACTGACTATAGAACGACTGTTGTTGGCACTCCAGGGCTGTGAAGAATGGGAAAATCGGAGCATGGGCATGTCGTTAACTTCCTCCAGTCGAGAGCGGTATGGCAATTCCGAGCCTCAGCTCAGAGTCGGAACGGTCTCCTCACCGGCTACCAGGTAAGTAAAAAGGTACGTACCAGTCGGATTTCCCGACTACGACGACCGACGCTAAGCCACCAATGACATGCCGCTTATATCACACAGCGACAACGAAGAGTCCGGCGACCCACCATCATCACTACCGAGTCGACTTCCCGGCGTGGGGCAAACGTGCGTCCTGGCCTTGCGACTCCTCACTCTCTCCAAGGCCGGGCATTCTGGCTGGCAATGATTCAGGCCCCGCCTCCTGGTCCTGCCACCAAACAGATCCCGGGAATATGGGACTCTTCGCAGGGCAGAGCGAGAGCCCTGGATCGCGGGGTCAATTACCGTTCCCTCTACCCGTCCATGCTACTCCAGTAGCTCCCCACATGTCCCATTTAACGGCCGTGACTTCGGCATCCATCACGGCCACCTTTGACCTGAGTTATAAGCATCGCTGCCTCGCACTCCAGTCCTGCGTCCTTGAACCCTCACACATTCCGCGATCGGTACCATCTTCCGAGTGATCGGACTATCCCAACCATCCCTGTTCAGACCCAAAGTCCCTTTACAAGCGCTATCTTTTCCTTCCGAACTCCAAGGCCAATCTCAACATGACGGGCGCCTCCCGGGATGTTCCCAAATATGACATAGGTCAGTTTGTATAGTCCGCGCCGTCACTTCACGAGGCGACTGTTCTCTTATCATGATTCCGTTCTCATTCGTCGTACAGTCATCGTCGGTGCTGGCCCTGTTGGCCTCATGCTGTCTACTTGTCTGGCCAGGTGGGGCTACAAGATCAAGCATATTGACAACCGGCCGGAACCAACCAAGACGGGCCGTGCTGATGGCATTCAGCCGCGCTCTCTTGATCTTCTTCGCAACATGGGCCTCAAAACTCACATCATGGCCCACAAACCCGCTCGTGTCTTCGAGGTTGCCTTCTGGGATCCCGTGAGCAAAGGTGATGGCATCGCGAGGACCGGCACATGGGCGAGCTGCCCCAGCTTCATCGACGCGCGGTATCCCTTCACCACTCTCCTCCACCAGGGCCTCATTGAGCAAGTATTCATCTCAGACCTTACCAAGAACAACGTCAACATTCAGCGTCCGTGGACAATCTCAGGCTTCACTTCAGACGTCGCGCAAGACCCAGAGTACCCAGTCGAGGTGCAGCTGGAACACCAAGATGGAGGTGCTCAGGAGACGGTCCGTGCCAAGTATCTCTTTGGCGGCGAGGGTGCGAGATCTTTCATCAGGAACCAGCTCAACATCGGCATCAAGCACAAGGATCCCATTGAGCACGTATGGGGTGTCATGGACGGCGTTGTCCGGACCGACTTTCCCGACATCAAGGTTCGTGGTTGGCAGGCAACGAAAACGAAACGTCCATGTTTCATGTCGGCTGACTATGATAATAGATGAAGTGCACCATCCACAGCCCGCACGGCTCCATCATGGTGATCCCCCGGGAGAATAACATGGTGCGCCTGTACATTCAGATTGCCTCGTCGACCGATGCCGACTGGAACCCACGAAAGACGGCCACGGAGGCAGATGTCCAAGCTTCGGCGAAGCGCATTTTCCAACCGTATCATGTAGAGTGGGATCGTGTCGAATGGTACTCGGTGTACCCAATCGGTCAGGGTATTGCCGACCGCTACACGTTGGATCATCGTGTCTTCCTCGGTGGCGATGCGTGTCACACTCACAGTGTAAGTCTCAGAAACCGAAGCCGCCGTCGAACCGAACGCTAGCTAACGTGCCGAACAGCCCAAAGCAGGTCAGGGCATGAACACCGCTTTCCTGGACGCCCAGAACTTGGCCTGGAAGATCCATCTGGTCGAAGCTGGCTTCGCCCACCGGAATCTGCTGGCAACGTACGAAACCGAACGTAAGCACGTAGCGGAGGCTCTCCTCGACTTTGACAACAAGTACGCCAAGCTATTCTCGCAACGGCCTGATGCGGCGACAGAGGCGCAGGCTGCTTCCCGCAATGGGCAAGCCGATGCCGGTGACAATGATTTCATCAGGGCCTTCAAGGAGTCCTGCGAGTTTACCAGCGGCTACGGCGTTGCCTACAAGTCAAATGCCCTCAATTGGTCGCCAGAGCACCCCGCCCAGTCGCCGTTGATCAACCCTAGTGGGTCGAAGCTGCGTACAGGCCGCCTCTTGATCAACGCCAATGTGACGAGGGTCGTTGACGCGAACGTCGTCCATCTCGAACAAGAGGTGCCCATGAATGGCTCCTTCAGAATCTTTGTCTTCGCAGGCAAGCCATCAAAGACCAGCCGCGCTCTGAGCGACTTCGCGGACGGACTCCAGGCCAGGAATTCGTTCTATGCAACGAACCAGCGGTCGGATATCGACATGGTGTCTTACCATGAGACGCACAACCCTCACAGTCACTTCTTCACCATATGCACCATCTTCGCAGCGACGAGAAGTAGCATTGAGATTGCGCGCGACGTTCCCAAGCTGATGGCACGATATCGCGACCACGTTTATGCCGACGACCTCTGGGACCGAAGGGTGCCGGAAGCAAAGGCAGCCGCACATGCCAAGATGGGTCTGGATGAAGAGAAGGGAGGTGTTGTGGTTGTCCGACCTGACGGCTACGTGGGTGTTGTTGTGGGTTTGGCAGAAGGTTCTGGCACCGTTGACGCGTTGAATGAGTACTTCGCTTCCTTTGGCGCGAAGCAGGCGAGACTGTCTGCGCAACTTTGAAAGGAAAAGGCCCCACTGCCAGCAGCGGTGACCTTCTGAAGAACACGATCTGTTCTCATGTAACGATTAGTCCTATTTTCGCGAGTGGACACAGCAAGCCTGTACATGCTTTGTAGCTGTAGAAGTGCTGATTACACATGTATAAATTGAATTACCATGCAAAGGGAATATTCTATTCCAGAAGCATACAGCGCATTCGTCGATGGTTGTGACGATATTCGATGCAGCTACCTGTCTAGGCACCTGGGCAGGGTGGAATACACACCTGAGGTGCAGAATTGATTAACGGTGCCTGAAATGTGAAAGCTGATGAAGGGATCGGAATGACTTGTGACACGTGATTAGACATTGCTTAAGTGGAGTACTTTTGGTGTTGTGTGAATGCAGTTTGGACCCACCTCGAAACCTCCATGCTGCATTGCGACTTCCCTGTCTTGCATCAACCATCGCAGTCGCGCGTGAAGCCACGCTTTATTCAACTTTCCCACCCACCCACTACCTGACCTTTCCTGATACGAGCGCCGTTCTCTAGAGAATCAACCACGCGGATGCGCTGTAGAGAAACCATCAAGGCGCGACGCGATAACTGTCGTAACGACCAAGGCTCCTCTGGCTGCTATCCCCCCCCCGACGTGTGGAATTGTAATGTCCCCGACTTCCTTCACTATAGCATCTAGTCCTCCCACCCAACAATTCAGATCACTGCACTATGTGTATGTGGACGCTCCCAACTGTCTTATCACTACACCTAGTTCATCTTCATGTCGGCTTATTGCACTTGTTTGCGATGCCACTCCTCCTGTTCCCCTGCAACGTCGAACTCTCCCCCACCATGACCTGCGCACCTCTCTAGTCAAGCTACCTATTTCGCACCTCACCTGAATCCTAGCAAGCATCAGTTCAGCATACGTATAGCAGTGGAACTATCAGTGAAACACTGTAAGCTGACTGCAATGGCTTTACCAGAACCTGAAAATCTCCGGCGACAAAGGTTGATCGCCCAGGGCTTTCCCCTCGTCGACGTGCGCGACGTCAGCACTCACTGGAGGCCCATCAAATCGAACCACGCCAGGCTCCTCGACCCGACCAGCGCCATATTCCCACAGAGATGGAAACCTTACCATAACAACCCACTGCTTCTGTACAATCCACCCGAATTCGCATGTCCCGACGACCCTCTTCGCGGTTGCATCATTGCGAAGAAAGACAGCTGGATGCTCGCGACCCGTTACGACGGCTACAAGGCGTTCAAGCGAAGGAAGGCGGAACTTGCCAGGAAGGAAGGCACGACTCACAACTACGTTCCGAGATCTCATGCCTCCCATCGCGCCCGAGCCACCGACCCTGCGACCTCTACCCCAATTGCCAACGACAGGCCCAAGCAACACGGAGGAGTTGCCTCACTAGCAGGGAAGCATCAAAGTTGCCTCGTCGATGAGGATATCGCTCGTTCTTGGGAACGACAACAGGCTGGAACATTGCATGCTATTCCTTCGGCTACACGCAAGCGAAAGGCTGAAACCTTGGAGCCAGATAGTGTTGCTTCGGCGTGGGAACAGTCGTCTCTCCTACGCACTGCAAGCTATGCTCGCCCTGATCCAGGCCCTCGAGACGTATGTTGCCACCACTTGACTCTTATCACATACAGCAGACGCAGACTAACCGCACTAAAGCATACGAGCCGCTTCCGTGCCACTGCCCCAGGCCCCATGTCGTGGACCAGTCACGCCATGACAGAGATCATTGGAAAGTTGTCAGCTGTGGTTAGCAGTCTATTCGGACCCGGTACGTGATCGCTGTCTTGATTCATATCTTGGCCTTGCTCATTCTGATGCGTTACACCAGTCAGTCACAAATCCACTGCAGTCGAACAACGCACTACCGACTACCACACAGGCAATGTTGCCTTAAAGAAACGCCGACTCTCCCAGCGTGGGGATGATGACCCTTCGTGGATCGACGAGGATGCCAGATCCCGTCTCTGGGATCGTCATATCAAATGTCTTCACCAAGGACTCTCTCAGGCTACGATGTGCATCAAGGATCAGCATGCTGGTGACCTCGATCGTCGGAGTGCGCAACGCTTCAGCTACCGGGGCGACAAGTTTGCGCATCTGAAACTCGAGAATCTTGTCACACTTGTGATGCCAATCACACATGCCTCAGCTGCCATTGAGCACCTTTATTCCAGGGACATGCTTGAACAGGCGAAACACTATAACAAGACACCACAAGCCCGGGTTCGATACCGCCTTGAGAGAAATGGCGAAGACGTTTCTATCGACCACGCGATACGCCTGCTCGAGAATTTGCCTTCAGAACTTGTTCCTATCCTGGAATCCTGGCACGTGGATGATCGTTTGCTGAGGACGGTCTGCAATGATCTCTACGCTCTTCTGGCGAAACGACCCATTCCGAGTCTGGGTTGTTAATGCGAGGCGGAAACTCTCTCCCTGTGGGAGCGTATGGCACGCGTTCCTGCAGACGAGGATGTCGTCATGTCCGATCTCTCCAAACACGACAGTTTCGCCAGCTCTTTTGGCCATCCCAGGCGGCTTCCCAGAAGAGGACACCAACCGTGTAGCTGACGCGCAGCCGAATTTACACACAGCCGAGTTCGCTGCAAGCCGTTCTGCGCAATCTGAAATGCCGCTTGCCTCTTAAGACTCCTTACCTACATTCCACGACGTTATACCCTTTGACTTGATTCAAGCGCATTTTGTAGATCCACAATGTGCTGATTCATACAGCGAGAAGGGCTCCTTTTGATGCGGGGGCACAACCGGTCCATGCGATCCATTCTGAAGGACAAGCTAAGGTCAACGTCTTCGCCAAATGCGGCGCGAACATCCCGACACAGATCTCGCGATCATAACCCTGACCATTCTCCCTACAAGGCCCGCTCTTCTGTCGGATCGGCTATCGTATCGCCGGTCTCGAAGCGGTCTACTTCTAGATCACCACCCTCATACATCACGCGCCTTAAGTCGCCAAATTCGATGCGAATGACAGCCACAAGCTCGGCAAGCCTCTTCACCCCGACCTCGCCGTCACGACAGAACACGGGTCACTACTTTGTTTCAGCCGGTGGCAAAGAGGCTGAAGACGTGGTAGACGATGACCAGACAACCCAGATCGCGGAGGGTTCCAACACGAACCTTGTTCACAGGGAGGCGTATGATGACACTTTGAGCGGCAAGGAGGCTACACATTCCACTTCAATCAGGCTACTTTCTCATCGAGACATCGCCGACGGGCATCGAGATACAGCCAGGTATCTCCGTCATCATATAGATGAGCAGGAGGGGCAAGTAGAAAGCGATAGCGCCGACGAGAAGCAAGAAGACCGCGAGCATGACGTGCTCACTCGCCACGGTGCCAGCATCAACGTCCACATGCAAGAGGGGCTGCGAAAATACTATAGACCCAGTTCGCCATTCTCCGGGTCGGACCTTGATAAACAGCTCTCGGGTCTGCAAATAAGCGACGAGAGGCAATCGGCTTTAGATGAAGTCGCACTTCGCAGGCAGGTCGAAGAGGAAGAACGAGAATTTCTCGCAGCAGTTGCAGCCAAAGCGCGGCGGAGGCTGAGAAAAAGCGTGCTGATGCTGAGAAGCTGCTCAAGACGGGGGGCTTGCGTCCTCCTCACAAGCCATGGTGGCTCCGCTGTCAGATGACTGGTTGCGAAAGGTCGAAGCCTCCGTCACTCGCCAGGGTGCCAGCGTTGCGCGTACTTTTGAGGGGACCGAACTCACCCCCCGCGACTTTGCTAGAGTTGTTCCTCCGACGGAATGGCTCAACGATGAGATTGTCAACGGCACATTGCTATGGCTAGATCGCTTCATCAACCTTGCAGCCGGCGTCAGTGACGCTCGATCAGCGAACAGGAAGTGTCTTGCACTGTCGTCGTTTATCTGGAAGAGGATACAGGATGCTGGACCCGGGAGCACCGGCCGAGCGCTTCGCCGCTTTGGTGTATCCAAGGCGAACTTTGGCGACCTCGACACGGTTCTGCTACCAGTATGCGAGAACTCTCACTGGACGCTCATTGTGGTCCGACCCAAAATGCGGACCATTGCTCACATGGACTCATTGAGCGTTGCTGGATCCGCTAGTAAACTCAATCTGGCCCAGGCTTGGGTTAAGGCCGTTCTCGAAGAGAACTTCATCGAGGCTGAGTGGAGGGTGGTACGACACGAAGCCCCTCGACAGACAAACGGATACGACTGCGGCGTGCACACAATCACAAACGGCATGTGCATTGCTCTAGGTCTGAACGCTATTGACACCTATGCATCAGATCAGATGCCCCTGCAGCGACTTCGAATAGCTGCAATGCTACTGAATGGAGGTTTCAGCAAGGATTTCGATCTTGCCGGTCTGTGAGATGACGAGGGTTCAATGGTGCGGTGGAGAAGGGGGGGGGGGGGGGGGGCTTGAGGAGGCGGGGAAGGTTTCTTCTCAGCATCGTGACATCTGGTACCTTGCGTACGACACTTTGAGTTGTGCATGGACTTGGATACGGGCGTCACACAGTTAAATGTCATGGTAGCGCTGCAATTTGGGGCCGGATTTGGCAGGCGTTTGAAGTCAGTGATACCAGGAGTCGTAAGCAGCCACGGATGGCCAGCCACTCCTCCGAGTTGACGAATCTTTTAAGTT